TAAACCATTCTACGATCTCTCAAATCCGTCTAAATCTTAGCTACTTGCTAAAGTGAAAAGGGGGTTCAAAAAAATAAGACACTGAACGTTATAACTTGTCTTGACATAGCTCGATTGAACATGTTAAGAATTTGGTCAACATAATTGTTAACATTATCAAATGAATATATCCAAGATATCCTACCAAAATTGGTAACTAATTTTTCTGCATTGGTCAAGGTTTTCGCCCGCCCACGCCTATACTTTGAATGGGCATGGTGGGGTTTTTTTAAAAAATATTTTCAACATTGAGCTAGTGGCGGACGGGTCGAAAAAATTTTTTTTATAGTGGTGAGCGGGAAAATTTTTGATATTTGTCCAGGCGAAATAAGCTGAACAGATTTCAATTTTATTAAAAAATAATAAATTTTATTTCATAATATTGCATATTACAAAATATGTTTAAATTAAAATTACATTTAATAAATAAATAAAGATTTGATATTTGTCAGGCGAAATAAGCTGAACAGATTTCGATTTATTAAAAAATAATAATTTTATTTCATAATATTGCATATTACAAAATATGTTTAAATTAAAATTACATTTAAATAAATAAATAAAGATTTGATATTTGTCAGGCGAAATAAGCTGAACAGATTTCGATTTATTAAAAAATAATAAATTTTATTTCATAATATTGCATATTACAAAATATGTTTAAATTAAAAATACATTTAAATAAATAAATAAAGATTTGATATTTGTCAGGCGAAATAAGCTGAACAGATTTCGATTTATTAAAAAATAATAAATTTTATTTCATAATATTGCATATTACAAAATATGTTTAAATTAAAAATACATTTAAATAAATAAATAAAGAGCCAAACCAGCCATTAAAAGGGGGGGGGGGGTTTAAACAAAATTTATAGATAGACCGGCGAACGGGTAAATTTTTTTAGCGGATGGGCGGGTTAAATAAATTTCAAAACAACGAGTGGGCCGGTTTTTTGGCTAATTACCCGCACATTGCAGACCTCTAAGGGAGATAAAAACGTGATTAGAATTTTTTTTACTAAATAGTTTTTTTTTTTTTTAAATTAAAATAATGTGAGGGATAAAAAATCATGAGTGCCAACTAGTGTTGTCAAAAAATACCCGATTTAGCTAAAATAATAATATGTAAGTATAGAAATTTGGCAAACAGATGTCCAAGCATTTCTGCCAGATATGAACAAAATCTTTAGACTTACACACTATAATCTTTATCGGGCCGTTTTTTTTAAATTGATCCTAATCGGATTTTTTAACAACATTAGTGTGAACCCTTCGGCGAAAATAAATGGTTCGAGTCCAGGGTTAGATTTATTTATATTTTTAATATTCCATTTATTAATATGTGCATAACAAGTAATGTTAAATTTAATTTATAATTTAAATTTTAAATGCTTAATTTAATCGCAGTCTTAATTAGAGGTCTTCATTGGGCGGGATTTTAACCCATAAGCCCGCCCGCCTTGCAGGCCATAGTTTTTAAAAATATACCCGCGGGCCTATTAGTTTAAAATTCTTTTAATTTTCAATATCCCAAAAAAGTTTTATTATATTACCATAAAAGGAAATTTTAATTTTTAATATACAAAAAAAAGTTCATAAGAAACAATTTTTTTTATTCATATTGGCTTAAACGATTTTAAATAACAAAAATTTTAAATATTTTTTACCCGCCCGCCTGCCGTTCTTAAAATTTAACCCGTCCATCAGCTCGCCCACTTAGATTGGCGGGCGGGCCGAAAACCTGCCCAATTAAGATCTCTAGTCTTAATATCATTTATAATAAATTATTATTACCTACACTGCAAAAACATAGAACAGGGGCGTCGCTAGCCTTTTCAAGGGGCTCAACTAAAAAAAAAATTATGGGGGGGGGCGTAGCCCCCCATATCCTCCATTTGCTGGCCGGGTTTTATACCCCCATAACCTCCATTTGCCGGCCGAGTTTTATACCCCCATAACCTCCATTTGCGGGCCGGGTTTTATATTAATATATTATACTTTTTAAAAATTCGCTAACTCTGAATAATTATTCTGAATTTCATATATTGTTATTTATTATATTATGCATACAAAATAAACTAGCATATAAATAATTAAAACAATATAAGACATTTCTAAAAATATTATTTTTTAATTCAAAATCTATTTATTAATGTATAAAATATTTTCGATTGCTAATACAAAAAAAATTTGCGTCTAAAGAATTACAAGTGATAAAAAAGGTTAATTAATACATACATTTACATATGCCTCAATTGATAATGGTTTTTAAAAACTACATATTATAAAATTAGAAACTTAAATTGACAAAATTTAAAAAAAATATAACATTCTGTTACCATTTTTAGACAATGTTTTATAGAATAGACTAATAAGAAAAAATTTAGGCCTAACCAAATCAACAATTCTTGGGAAAGAGAATATAAACGACCAATCTAAATTATAAAACTATATGGTGGTTAGAGATTCCTCTTAAATGACATGATAGAAGCTAGATAAGAAATTGAGAAAAAAATTGAGAGGTATTAAATTTCTAAGATTATCTTCCATTTTTAATGATATATAAATAAACAACTACACAGTTGACCATTATTGCTTATAAAATATGCTCTCAGCAGCTGTAATAATATTCTTAAATTACATAGCCACACAAATAATAGATGCTTGTTAATTTCCAGTCATCGCCATGACACTCACTACATTAACTTATATCAGAATTTATTATGCTAGATAAATTGATAAAACAAAAACACTATAAATCTTTAGAAAAAATTATGCAAATATATTGAAACCTTGAGTTATTTACACGGCAAGGATGTCATATTAGAAATGAGACATTTTGTAATTATAAAATAAGAACAAGAGTGATATCATGAAAGAAATTAAAATTTTATATATTATTGTCGCACCACCTCTAGTTGATATATTATATCTTAAAATAGTAGTAGTTTGTAAAAATATCAAAAATATACTAGTATTAAAAATTTAACTCAAAACTGTTTTTCAAATAATAAAAAAAAATATCTTACCTAAAAACACGTAATAAAGAGAAGAAAAGTTATCTAATTTATAACCTCCATTGTGGGATGAAATAATAAGACGTTTAATAATAAAATTATTTTAAATAAATAGATGGCTTTAAATATTTGAAAACAATTTATTACATATATTTATTATCAAAACCATTTATTAGTAAAATTTATTAAAATATTAACTGTAATATATTATATAACTGCCGTCTGTAAAAGTGGTATTTAACCTAATATTTTATAACCAATTATATCTTATAGAGGATTATAAACTATATGTTTACTTACTTTTTATATTAAATCTCTTATACTTATTTGGATTTGTATCTTGAAAATAATTTTAAGAAGAGGAATGGTAATTAAATTTAAATATCAATAATATAGTTGATTAGTGATTTTGAAATCGGCAAATTACAATATTAAATTTGTTAATTTTCAATTAATATTTATTTAATTAGGGTTATATATTAATTTAAATAATAAAAGTCTGTTGTAATTGTGGTAACATGCAAATTTACTAGATTAAGAAAAACTCCAGACAGGCAAATTACTTTTAAACAAAATTAAGAAGCCCAAATATATCATTGATGAGAGGTGTGTAGGGGGAAATTAATTCCTAATATTCACTTTCTAAAATTATGTATTCCTATCCTATTATATAGTATATTAATAAATTATCATTTATAATAAAATATTATTACCTTCCCTAAATTAAAACAAGATTACCAATAAAATGGAATTATAAAAAACCAAAAATTTTGAAAAATGGGAAGAGAAAAATAAAATTTTCTTTCTACTTTTTAAAAGGGTCCGGGTTTATGTTCAGCCAAAATACCAGGGATCGGGTCTGGGTACCCATTATAATAAAATGGTGCACAGTGGCTGCACATTATTATTAGGCTAATATTTTTTCAGTGAAGATTGATACCTATGTGTGAAAGAAATTGATATTTATTTTAATAACTTTTCCAAACATTTAAAAAAATTTGAGTATTTCTGTCCAGAGCACTTTTGTCATAGTCCTTAGGTTAGCAGAGACATAGTCAAACTGTGGCCTAATATTATATTTTCTTATGGGCCTGAGTTTTTGAAATTTTTTTACAATAGGCTTGGACTTTATTAATGGGCTTTAAATTTTTATAATTTAAATTTAGCCTATTTAAAACAGATGCTTACTAAACAAATATTGCAATTTTTCCTTCTAATGGTAAATTTTCAGTATTGTAAACTAAATGACTGCTAAAAATGCACTTAAATATTGTTTGTGTATAAATTAAATTTTTGGATATAGGCTTGGTTCAGTGGGAAAAATCTTTGAAACTTATTATTGGCTTTGGAATGTTTTCCAATATAAAATATGGGACGAGCCTGAAACTTAATTGTTTTTTTTACTGTGGGCCTAGTTTATGCTTAATCAAAAAATGCCATGAAGGTTTCTGATATCCAGGACACTTCTGACCAGTTACCACTTATTAGGCCTGGACTAAAGTTGGATTTGGCCTTTCTAGCCCTCATTAGACCAAATCTCATTTTTAAAAAATCCAAAACTGGACCCTATTTTATTTTTTTAATGAATTTGAATCTCAACTAAACTGAGCAAAAAAAAATTTTGGGTCTAGCTAGATCCCTAATTTTTATAAAGAATAAAAACTTGTTTATATATATAATATTTTTTTTCAATTTTAACAGATACATAATAGTCTTTATTTGAATTTTAACAAATATATATATTTTTTTTATTATATCAAAAAATGCTTTAATTACATTATTTTCCCAAAGAAACAAGAATAATAATATTTTAAAATAATAATTTCTATTTTTTTTTTCTGTTTGGAAACAACTTTGGATTCTGATGTAATGGATAATTTTGCAACCTAATTCTTTTTTTATTGTAAAGGTCCTCTTAACAAAGGAGATAATGATGTATAAAAATATAATTAGTTAATTTTGAATATTTTTTTTAATATCAATTGAAATAATATTTATTCAAATTTGTCAGGTATATAATAATTTATATTTAATTGCATTGACATAAAAATTACAATACTGAGATCTAATGATTGTATATATTATAAGTAATTATTTAATAAGAGGTCCATCTATATCCTAAATAATAAAGATTATGATAAATATAGGAATAAATAGTTTACAAAATTTATGTTCCTGAGATAACCAAATTTGAAGCGAATCAAATCACCCCAAAGCATTGATGTTTTACAGGAAGGACAACTTCCTTCAATAGGAATTATTTCAATCTCATTATTTTTTAAAAAATATGTTGACAAGCAAGTCAAATGGTTAACACAATCACAATCAGGTATGATACATTCAACTTTATTATCACTCTAAAATTTATATAAAATATATTGAATTTTAAAATTATACAGAAATTTTTTGTTTGCATAAAAAGCACAGAACCAAATCTGAATGGCTTGAAATATTTAGTGAATCTTTAAAATTTTGTTTATTTGATATCACAGGACCTTGAATTATGGGTATATGTAATGGAGGGGCAGAGTTTGAATCAAACTCAACCTGTAAACAAAAATTAAAACTTAATTAATATGAATAGTCACTTTATAATTTTCCTTAAGCCAGCAGACATTTAAGGGTAATCGTTTCCATGGAGGTTGATTTAACATATGACCAAAAACTCTTATATTATAATCATAAAGTTTTTCTCTTTTATTTTTAACTAGGTTAAGAACTTTTAAAGCTCGAGAATTCAAGGGATTTTGCCAGGCCCATTCAAATTTTAATGCAGAGATTTTATTTGGAAATCCAAATACAATTAGCACCATTTCCCATGGTCCTTTATTATTTGTTTTTTTGGCTCCACCAAAATCTATACCTTTATTATGTTGAATAATTCTCTTATTTGGATCATTTGTAAAGCCAATGTAAACTTTACCCTTATATTTGATATTTATATTATATAAAAGATAGCAACCAAAAAAATTTTCTATCACATTTTCCATATGGGTTTAATGTTTACATCTTTTTATAGAAATTATTATCGCGGAAATAGTGATAGAGAAGATTGCAAGCATGCATTATGGATGTGATGTGATTATCAAAATGTATTACTTTATTTAATATATTATATAATGATAGTTTATTTAGCATTAGATGACAATTGTTCTTCAGTGGCATGTCAAAGTTTGTATAAAAAATTCTGATATTTACCTTCATTTTATTATATAAATATTGCTTTTAACTAACATAATTTTTATAATTTATAATTTGGATAGAAAAGCAGTACCAATAAAATTAATTTTATTTTATTTTTAAAAAGTTTATTTTTATCACTCTGTTATATTTTCGTTGAGTTTATATACATTTATTATAATGATTAATATGAATGTACTAAATATGCAAAAGTATAAAAAAACTATACAAGGTTAAACATATTATTTTAAAGTAAAAGAAACTTTTAAACAAATTATTTTAAGGTAAATATTTTTACAAAAAATAAATTATTTTACACTTTGAATAACCTTTAGTGTTTAGTCAAAAAAGATAACCAAAATTTATATTATTTTTAGTTGTTGTCTATCCTAACATTTCCTTTTTTTTCCTCTACTCATAGTATTTGTTTATGCTTGTTCCTTGGATCGTCACTCATTGATTGCTGTTTGATCGTAATTGTTCTAAATTTCCATTATTCGTCAATTGCTATCTCATCATCTATTCGTCAATTTCTATCTTTGATCAGATTTCCAATATTTAGTCAAAATTTTCTTATATATATATTATGTAAGTATTTTATAAAAAAAAAATTATTTAATATTTATTTATAATTAAAAATTATAATATTTTCGATCTTAAACTTGATCTTGATTTTATATTTGCTCTTCACTTCTTCCCCCTCTAATAATTTGTCTACTCGGTCTAGAATTTTTATCTTTATTATAATGATTTATTGCATCCCCACCCTTTTGCCTTTTTGCCTATCTATCCAGTTACTAAATATTTTTTTTTTCGTTGTTGTTGACTAGTCATTATCTTCATCGTTGGTTTGTTCTAATCGCTAGCTTGTTATATCAAGTCATTATGATTATCGTCATATTTATCATCGTTTTTGTTGTTATCATTATTAATTATCATTTATTGTTATTATCATGGTTGTTAATTATTATCAGCATTAATTTATCTCGAATAATTAATTTTGGAATAATTGAAAAGATAATAATGGAATAAGCAATTAATATCGGAATTATGTATAGTATAAGAATAATAATAGTATATTGGTATTGAATCATGGAATATTTCGAATTGAATATCGAATATTAGAATAATTAATTTATATGGAATAATTAATATATATATAGGATCATACGAATTTCGAGTTTTACATCTATTAAATATTTAAGGTTTGAATTTCAATTCATTGTTTTTCAATTTAAAAAGTTTCTTAATATTATAATTCTTCTTCAAATTACGTTTTGTAAAGAAAATTTTAGACTCAAATTTTACGTGATACGTGATAAAACGCATTCGCCCTCTCAACGTTGTGGGAACAACAGAGCTACGCTAAGTTTTTCTCATTTCCATCTAACTGGATTATTAAAGTTATCGGGGAAGAAATTATGAAAAGCACTTTACACGTTTGTGGGCAAGCCGCACGTACTTGTACGCACAATAGTCCGAGGACTATCATTTAAACATCTGTGGGCTGATTAATAGGGAAAGGCCTAAAAAGACAGCTCACACCAATGGCCTCAAATTTTTATAAAATAATCTCCTTATCGCACCGCACTTCTAAATTTAAGATGTTTAATTTTGACATTGTCTCTCTTTATAATATTTTTATTCTTAAAAGTATCATCCTTTATGTATGATTTATTTAAGTTATGTTATCTTCAAAGTTATAGTTTCCTAATTTTTTTTGGTACTTTTAATTTAATTATATGATTTTCTTTAATATTTATATCATTATTTTATTCAATCACAAATATTTCTTTAAATTTTATCACATAATTTATATTTTTTAATTTATAAGAATCTATTTCATTTTGAACATTTGGTAATAAATTATATAATTCATTTTTGTTGAAATTTTTATTATTATGAGATTTATATTTATAATGATAATTTTTTTAATTGCTATATGTCTCTTTATAATATTTATTATTTAAATTTGTACTTTCATGATAATTTTTATTACTAAATTTATTATATTGACTTGTCATAATAATTGTCTGAATTCTTATCATGACAATTATTTGAATTTTTGTAACGATAATGATAATTATTATTTTTATAAGTTTTATATTGAAAATTAATATTAGAATAATTATATGAATTGATTTAGGTTTTCTATTATCTTTTTTAACGGTTTATATTTACATAATAATTTTAATCTAATTATAAGTTGATATTTTATCTCTATGTTCCGTAACTTCTATAGCCAAATATAAATTGTCTTGTAAACTTAATATTAAGTTTAAAATATTTTTACTACGTAATATGTCAAATATTCTTCTATTTAATCAAAAGATTTTTCATATTAATTAGATCCCGCTTTGGGTGATTTATTTTAATTAAATTATAGAATTTAAGTTACTAAATATGTTTTTAAATATTTTTACGACACATTTTTCATTTTTACGTGTTTTAGAATTAAATAAAGATAATCTTTCAGAATCATTTTTCATCTAGTTTTAACATGTTAGTTTCCATTTATGTATCAACTTCACTGCCCATATGATTGTATCCATAGTCATCACCAAATCATTTTGTTACTATATCTAAGAATTTTTATTTTTTATAGAAGAATTAAAAAAAAATTGAAAACATGATGCCACCATATAATTTGGATGGAAAATCACTACCAATAAAATTTAATTTAACACGTTTTATTTAAAAATTTATTTTTATATCACTCTTTTATAAATTTTTGTTGAGTTTATATACATTTTTATAATCATAAATATGAATGTACAAAATATACAAAAGTATAAAAAAACTATAGAAACTTTTAAACAAATTATTTTATGGTAAAACATTTTTACATAAACTAAATTATTTTACTCTTACCTTCAGTGTTTACTCAAAAAAAAGATAACCAAAATTTTATATTATTTTTATTTGTCGTCTATCTTAACATAATTAAACTAATTTACTTATACTAAGCTATACCACAGGTTTATTCAATCTTAAATATGAATGTGATTTTTTCGACAATATTTTATTTTTTCAAATTTAAATCATTTTTTGAGCGCGTTATAGTGTATTAAAATATATTCCTACAATACTACAATAATTATATTCGTAATTTTTATAAATGTGATATTAATTTAATAAATAAGCTATCGCGTGCATATTTGAGAAAAGGTTAAGATTATCAAATTTAAAAAAAAAAATCGAAATTAGAAAAAGGAACATCTAGATCTAAATTAACATTTACTACACCTTCAATTTAAATTATGATCTAGCGTCATACCCCTTCCAGAGTATTTATTTTAGTTAGTTATTAGATAATTAAATTTGAATCATTTAGATATATCACTTATTGATTTTAAAAGTTAAAATATATGAAAATGAAACATAAGGTTTTTATCTAAGTGAAAGAAATTTCCTCTACCATAGCCCATTTATTAAAATTTCTCCTGTCATATTTAACATTCTACGTATGATTGTATTTAATTGGTAGAGATTTTTGATCGTTGCCTTCTCATATCTCTGAACCTATTAATTAACCCTAACTCACATCTCTAACTTTAATTCTATTCTATTACTTAAATTAAATTACTTTGTTGTTTGTTTTTTTTATATTTTTATATAATCTTTCCAATATTAAAAATTCCCAGAAATGAACATCTATTGAGTTGAACTGTGTTAAATTAATGTCAAATATACACTCTTGCTCATGTGTCGCATTTCACATTGATTTAAGTGCAATATGTGGTATAATATGATAACGACATTCTTTTATTTCATTTATGAATTTTCACAAATATTTTTTTGTCTTTAATCATGATCTAATTCTTTTTTTTTTAATTTATATTATATTAATTTTTTGTATATAATACTAATTTCAATTAAAAGAAGGGTAATATAATTAAAAAACCTAACAATAAAATAAAAATTGTGTAATTTTCTAGTGTTTTTAAAAAGCCCGATTTGGGTAGATTTAAAAAAACGGCCAGATTAAGATTTTAGCCAAAATAATATTATGTAAGCCTCGAAATTTGGCGAATAGATGTCCAAACCTTTTTGATAACTATGAGCAAAATCTCCAAAATCACATAATATTATTTTGTTTATAACCTTAATCAGGCCGTTTTCAAAAATAGACTCGAATTGGGCTTTTTATAAACAATATAATTTTCCACATTCGTTCCGTGTATTAATGATTTATAAGTGATTATTTTTACAATAAAAAAGGTAGTCAAATAAAACAGTTTGAAATAGGCTATCCATCCCATAACCCATTTATAAAAAATTTAACGTAGATAGCTCCTCATATAATGTAAGCACCTAAGATTAAGCCAAATTTAAAATATTTAAACTTAAAATAAAAAAAAAATAGCATCTAAATATTTAATAATGTATTATTTTATATAAAGTAAATTATATTGTAAAAAAAATCTTGTGGATGAAGGGCATTGTTCATATGTTCAAATGTAAAAGCAAAAACATATTTAAAAGTAAATTAATAAATTTTTTTGATTTTTATATTTTTAATCAATTGTCTAAGATAAAACATAATTATAGATAAATAACAATAAAAATATTTAATAATATACTATATTCATTATATTTATGGGATTAATTTTCTAATAAAAAGTAAAAATAATATAATAATTAAAATTGATAATGTTATACAAGATATTAATCGTTATATTTACATAGCTAGTGTTGTAAACTAAAATACATTGCAGCCAAGTCAAGCTTTTTGGTCTAAAAATCGATTCAATTTTAGGAACGAGTCTATTCATCTGACTTCAAGTCATAATCGCGACTCGCGAATATTTCTGAGCTCG